GTGTATGGATGGAATGGGGGGGGGGGCATTAACAATAGACGAGGAATATCGTGTGTGAGGGTGGAGGGGGGGGGGGGGAGACAAGGTTTTAACGACATCAGCACTTGAAGATATCGACCATCGTTTTAATGGCGTGTAATTAATATTTTTTAATCATATCATTCTCATCCAGTTGTTAAACGTTGTATTGTGGTTTACTTTATATTGTCTCGTTATACGTTGTATTGTCTCGTTATGCGTTGTATTGTCTCGTTATACGTTGTATTGTCTCGTTATGCGTTGTATTGTCTCGTTATACGTTTTATTGTCTCGTTATGCGTTGTATTGTCTCGTTATACGTTTTATTGTCTCGTTATACGCTGTATTCTCTCGTTATACATTTTATTGTCTTTTTATACGTTTTATTGTCTCATTATACGCTGTATTGTCTCGTTATACGTTGTATTGTCTCGTTATACGTTGTATTGCCTCATACGTTGTATTGTCTTGTAATACGTTGTATTGTCTCGTTATACGTTGTATTGTCTCATTATACGTTGTATTGTCTCGTTATACGTTGTATTGTCTTCCAACTTGAATGCTACCATCAGGGAAGAGAACGACTCTGAACGGCTGTCACGTGATTTCATCGGTCTTTTACACCTGGCTTTGGGTGTAACGTGAGTTACACACATGCACACGACTCACACACATACACCACACACACACACACACACACCGCAAATGTACCACACAAACACACGCGCGCGCACTCATACACCGCAAACCTTATATAAAATACCATTGACAGACACGCTGGGCATCATACTCAAGACATAATACACAAGACACAGGACACCATATACAAGACAGCATACATAAGAAAAAATACATAAAACAACACAAAAGAAACCATACATAAGACACAATGCATAAGACACAATACACAAGACAAGAAACATAAGACACCATAGACAAGACACCATACATAAGGCACCATACATAAGACACAAAACATAAGACACCTAGACTGTAACATGCCGGCTAGCTGTTAAAACCCCCGTCAGCATAATCTTACTTTTCTCTTGGCCGTTTCATCACAATGCGCAACTCATTTAGGCACGGACTAATTAGCGAGTGGTATACCTAGCGCCCATCTGATCAATATATGATTTGATCGATATCTTGGTTTATCAGGTGCTGATTGGCTTCTGGTCGATAGACATTATACCAGCAAACTATGGTGTTTTATGGGATAGTTGTGTTCGCTCGTTGCGTCACTGTTTCAAGTCAACAGCCCCCCCCCCCCCCACACACACACCCTTGACTGGCTTTCTTCGTCAGTTCAGTGGCTCTGTGCGAAGGGGCGTCAGTGGAGTCGGGCGTCAGGGTTGTCGGTGCTTGTGTGTGGGCAGTTGTATGTGTGTGACGTCACTAATAAGAGACATGCTTGACCGTAAGGGGGGGGGGGTGGCACCGGGTGACGAGACGCACCGGGAAACCCCGATTTTTGCCAATGTGGAGTAGCTGCTTCATACAGAATAAGATCTGTGGCGAACATTTCAAACTCCACCCAATAACCCTGTTTTTTGTGGCGAACATTTCAAACTCCACCCAATAACCCTGTTTTTTGTGGCGAACATTTCAAACTCCACCCAATAACCCTGTTTTTTGTGGCGAACATTTCAAACTCCACCCAATAACCCTGTTTTTTGTGGCGAACATTTCAAACTCCACCCAATAACCCTGTTTTTTGTGGCGAACATTTCAAACTCCACCCAATAACCCTGTTTTTTGTGGCGAACATTTCAAACTCCACCCAATAACCCTGTTTTTTGTGGCGAACATTTCAAACTCCACCCAATAACCCTATTGTTCAGAATTAGATATGTGGCGAACATTTCAAACTCCACTAATTGACCCTGTTGTTTGTGGCGAACATTTCAAACTCAACTAATTGACCCTATTGTTTGAATCACTTTAACGAACTTGAAGAAAAAGAAGAAGTTAAACCTGCCGGTTGTCATACATTGCTTTACTTATGTTAGAAATACACTGGTTAGGACGGGCTTGTACATAATGACTATCGCGAGGGCAGCTACTGGTGCAAGTGGTGACCAAGGCTAGGGCAGCTACTGGTGCAAGTGGTGACCAAGGCTAGGGTAGCTACTGGTGCAAGTGGTGACCAAGGTTAGGGCAGCTACTGGTGCAAGTGGTGACCAAGGCTAGGGCAGCTACTGGTGCAAGTGGTGACCAAGGCTAGGGTAGCTACTGGTGCAAGTGGTGACCAAGGCTAGGGCAGCTACTGGTGCAAGTGGTGACCAAGGCTAGGGCAGCTACTGGTGCAAGTGGTGACCAAGGTAGGGCAGCTACTGGTGCAAGTGGTGACCAAGGCTAGGGCAGCTACTGGTGCAAGTGGTGACCAAGGCTAGGGTAGCTACTGGTGCAAGTGGTGACCAAAGCTAGGGCAGCTACTGGTGCAAGTGGTGACTAAGAAGTGGTGACCAAGGCTAGGGCAGCTACTGGTTAAATGTGGTGACAAGGCTAGGGTAGCTACTGGTGCAAGTGGTGACCAAGGTTAGGGCAGCTACTGGTGCAAGTGGTGACCAAGGCTAGTGCAGCTAGTGGTGCAAGTGGTGATCAAGCAGTGGTGACCAAAGCTAGGGCAGCTACTGGTGCAAGTGGTGACCAAGACACTTAGCCAACAAGACGGACCACCACTACTCCCACTGTTTTGTCCCCCCCCCCCCCTCATCAAACAGTTGCAGCTAATTGTCTAGTGCTGACATTTGATCTCATGAATATTAGGTCAGGACACTCGGGGTGGGGCAAGGACCTGGTACTCGCCACCAGTCTCAGTCAAAGATCGATGGATCTCTATATAGGAGCTTCCAGACTTCCAGCACTAGATGGTACTGGGCTGGAACTGTCCAGCTCGTCACGTGGTTTGTCTAGAGGCGCCACCACTTTGGTGGGGTGGGGGGTGTAGAGTGCTCGGTGTAGGGTGCGGGGTGGGGTTTCATGTAGCAGGGGAGGTGCAGCATTTAGTGGGGCGGGGAAGGGCAATGGAGTTTTGGAGGAAGGTAAATAGTGCGCTGCTGTAGTGCTGTATGACCACACACACATCCACACACACAAACCACACGAACTGACACAGACATACCGAATAGTACAGCACACACACACAAACCACACGAACTGACATACAGACATAACACAGCACACACACATAAAACACCCGTACTTATACACACAAACCAAACGAATCGATACAAACACAAACGACAGGAACAGCCACACAAAAAACCCACTACCCGCACACACACACACACACACCGAGTGACCTTCAGCAAACATAAAAGCCGGCCACCTCAGCCATCAGTAGTCACTGACCTATAATTAGTCCACAAGTCATATCTCACAGTGGACACATTCTAGCACAGTGGGAAGGGTGGGGGAGGGGGGAATGCCCTCACGGGTAGATTAGAATAACCAGGGCTGAATATTACGAAAAAAACAAAACAATGTAAAATATTGAAATTATGGGATATCAGCTGTTGAAGACTTTATAAGCCCTACTTCAAGCCGATACCAGAAATCTACACACTAACCGTGTTAAGTATCTTATAGGTAGATCTACACACTGTGTTAAGTATCTTATAGATAGATCTACACACTATCCGTGTTAAGTATCTTATAGATAGATCTACACTGTGGGCCGTCATCTGTATATTCTATTTTGAGCGTTGTCACGTGATCGTTATCTTACAGCTGATTGAACGGTTGCTTGTTTATATTCATTACGTCCTTGTTTTGATTACGTATGTGTGTGTGTGCAGTGTGTGTGTGTTTTGGTTGTTTGTGTAGTGGAGTGGGGGCGGGGTGGGGGAAGTCAATTCTACACGTCAACTGTCTGGCTCTATGACAGGTCACGTGTCTGGCACTCTAATTAATTAATTAATAATCGCCTGATACACCTGTTTTACTTGGGTAGTATTTTTACTAGTGTATATTACTTTAACAATGTCCGGATGTGGAACTAACTGTATCAATGTCCGGATATGGAACTAACTGTAACAATGTCCGGATATGGAACTAACTGTAACAATGTCCGGATATGGAACTAACTGTAACAATGTCCGGATATGGAACTAACTGTAACAATGTCCGGATGTGGAACTAACTGTATCAATGTCCGGATATGGAACTAACTGTAACAATGTCCGGATATGGAACTAACTGTAACAATGTCCGGATATGGAACTAACTGTAACAATGTCCGGATATGGAACTAACTGTATCAATGTCCGGATATGGAACTAACTGTAACAATGTCCGGATATGGAACTAACTGTAACAATGTCCGGATATGGAATTGAGAGGAAGTTGCTGAGAACTGGCAAGAAAATTGAGGCCCTGGCATATTTTTGGGGCACTTTTTGCTACACGGAGTGTGAGTCGCCTGGGGTTCAATGCCAAGTCAAGTGGCACAAGATATGCCCTTATTGTGGGCAGCTATTTATATTGATGTGCACATAAAGTGGACGGTATAAACTAGCATTAGATTATTTGAGACAAAGTTTAGTTTACATCCCCCCTCCCTCCCAAAAAAAAAAAATTCCTATAAAAACTATATAGTGTAATGTTAACAAAACGTACGAGTTATTTTTAATTTCAAGCGAAGCCTAGTTCGCCTTGTCATAACGATTACTTGAAACATAATCCATGACTCCCAACACATTGTGATATTTGCCATCGTTTGAAACCAAATACCATCAATTCTAAATGGTACACATTTGAATCGTAATCTTACATGATGTAAGTTTTAAACAGATTGATTTCATTGAATAGATAGAATGACATCATCAATTCTTGCGTAAACGATGTGTGTAGTTTTTAAACTCAGTAGCGATGTGCTGCTTGTGACGTCACAAAGACAATGGTCGCGCTGGCTAAGAAAACCGGCTAAAGAAAAGTAAACGTCCAAACATGGGTTGTAAGTGTTCCTGTTTTTTTTTCAGGCTGACCAGCTAACAGAGGAACAGATAGCAGGTAATTACACCAGGTCATTGACCTTAGTCTTACCTAGAACCACTCATTATATAGTAAATAATAATAGTAATGGAGACCGCCGTCAATACTCTCGAAATGGTCTAGATCTAGATTTAGAATCTAGACTTCTAGATCTAGAATCTATAAAGTATTTTTTTAATATCTAGATCTAGAATCTAGATCTAAATCCGGTGCGATGTTATTGAAAGAAATTTGGTTAAAGAATGTTTGATTAAGATTGGATTTAGGTCTAGACTAGATCTTTATGATGTTTCGTTATTAAAAAAAAAAAGCCACAAACAATTTGGTTGTTTACATTTTATCACAGAAAAAGTCAACAAAAGTGACAGATCTAGATCTAGGAATCTAGATCTAGATCTGAATAATTAATAATTAGGTGTTTTAAAAAAAAAATTAAAAATTTTCGGCAAAGTTTTGGAACAAATCACTACAAAAAGTGGGGTTTCCAGATGATGACCCCTGAGTTCCTGTGAGTGTACAACCAATGTTTGTCTACCGAAAGTAAAACTTCGGATATAGCCTAGGCTTGATGAAAACAGATACAACTGTAACCTTATACTCAAAAAATTTGTTTCAAGTTCTAGGGATTTGCAACACTAATAACATTGATTCTAAAAATATTAATATCTGGACTGGATTATTTTCAAGCTTAGGCATTTTTTTTTTTGCTGAATTTTTGTTGCGGCCGCTTTGATGGCCATGTCAACAATAATGATCAAACCCAACTCGTCATATTCGGTCGCCTCCATTACATTAGGTCATTGACTTTATGCTAGCTTTAGTCATTACACTAGGTCATTAATGTTTGTGATAGCTTTAGTCATTACATGGTAATTACACTAGGTCATTAATGTAGGTGCTAGCTTTAGTCATTACATGGTAATTACTCCAGGTTAGTGCTAGCTTTAGTCATTACATGGTAATTACACCAGGCTGGTAGCTCTAGTCATTACATGTAAGCCGACATAACCGTCTTTAGAATCTACAAGTTTGGCCCACTACATCGTACATAGTACGTTAAACTAAAGTTCATCTCCCAGCATAGAGTCGGCAATTATCCCGTAATGTTTGTGAGTTTTGTAAACATTCGTTACTGTTAACCATAGTTTATTCGACCGAGGAAATATAATAATGTCGAGTGTACTTATTAATGTTTTAAGTTTGACACAAGGAAACAGAAAAAAAAACATTTGCAGAAAATTAGCAACGATAAGTAGATCTAATTATAAATAACAATAGCACAGTTGAGTTTAGCAATTAATTTTGTTTTAAGAAACAGAATTTTTTTTTTAATTCAGAAAATTGTTATCATTAAGATTTAGCTCTAGAAAAAAATGATTACTAAATGATTACTAAACACCCTTGTATTTTTTACCTATTTTTGTAAACAAAAACAATATTTTTCCACCCTTAATCTTCATAACAAACAGCCATACCAAACCTCCATTAGACACATTTGTTTCATTTAAAATCTATTTTTTTATGCTAAAAACTCAGGTTTTAATTTCATACACGCTGATTACATCTAGAACTGGGTCAAGGTCTATTTTTACGTAGTGTCGTTATTTTTATTTAATTAGATCTAAATCGAGATGGAGATAGAGTTTCTTAGACTCGAAATAATACGGTGTCGATACACGTTAATTATCAATCTTATCTATATTTAATATTAAAAAAAATGTCCTCGAAATAAAGCAATGTAATCGATACGTGATGTTAAAAAGTGACTTTGATATTCAATAAAAAACAGTGACATCGATACTCAATAAAAACAATGACATCGATACCTGTTATATCATGCTCATTGAATACAAGCTAGACTTTGCTATCTCCAGAGTTTAAAGAAGCCTTCAGTCTGTTCTTGCTATCTCCAGAGTTTAAAGAAGCCTTCAGTCTGTTTTTGCTATCTCCAGAGTTTAAAGAAGCCTTCAGTCTGTTCTTGCTATCTCCAGAGTTTAAAGAAGCCTTCAGTCTGTTTTTGCTATCTCCAGAGTTTAAAGAAGCCTTCAGTCTGTTCTTGCTATCCCCAGAGTTTAAAGAAGCCTTCAGTCTGTTCTTGCTATCTCCAGAGTTTAAAGAAGCCTTCAGTCTGTTCTTGCTATCCCCAGAGTTTAAAGAAGCCTTCAGTCTATTCTTGCTATAGCCTTCAGTCTGTTCTTGCTATCTCCAGAGTTTAAAGAAGCCTTCAGTCTGTTCTTGCTATCTCCAGAGTTTAAAGAAGCCTTCAGTCTGTTCTTGCTATCTCCAGAGTTTAAAGAAGCCTTCAGTCTGTTTTTGCTATCTCCAGAGTTTAAAGAAGCCTTCAGTCTATTCTTGCTATAGCCTTCAGTCTGTTCTTGCTATCTCCAGAGTTTAAAGAAGCCTTCAGTCTGTTTTTGCTATCTCCAGAGTTTAAAGAAGCCTTCAGTCTGTTCGACAAGGATGGTGACGGCACAATAACGACCAAAGAGCTTGGCACCGTCATGAGGTCCCTGGGCCAGAACCCTACAGAGTCGGAGCTACAGGACATGATCAACGAGGTGGATGCTGACGGTTAGTCGCTCAAAATGCTTTTATACGGCATATTCGCTCTAGTTGATTGGCCACTTGTTCACGAGCTAGTAGCTGATTGGTCACTTGTCCACGAGCTAGTAGCTGATTGGTCACTTGTCCACTAGCTAGCAGCTGATTGGCCACTTGTCCACGAGCTAGTAGCTGATTGGTCACTTGTCCACGAGCTAGCAGCTGATTGGCCACTTGTCCACGAGCTAGTAGCTGATTGGTCACTTGTCCACTAGCTAGTAGCTGATTGGTCACTTGTCCACTTGTATCAAGGCATATAAGTGGAATGGTTTGAGTCAAGGTTAAGGTGACAATGCTAGCTAAGATATGGCCTGGTATAGGACCTGATTCACCCCCCCTCCCTCACACACACTCCCACTGATAGTCTGCCATTGATTGTCTGCCATTGATTGTCTGCCATTGATTGTCTGCCATTGATTGTCTGCCATTGATTGTCTGCCATTGATTCCCCTTGACTCTAACACCCCCATGCATTGTCTACCACCAGGTAACCTCCCCATACATGTTCTCCCCACCAGGTAACCTCCCCATGCATGTTCTCCCCACCAGGTAACCTCCCCATGCATGTTCTCCCCACCAGGTAACCTCCCCATACATGTTCTCCCCACCAGGTAACCTCCCCATGCATGTTCTCACCACCAGGTAACCTCCCCATGCATGTTCTCCCCACCAGGTAACCTCCCTATACATGTTCTCCCCACCAGGTAACATCCCCATACATGTTCTCCCCACCAGGTAACCTCCCCATACATGTTCTCCCCACCAGGTAACCTCCCCATACATGTTCTCCCCACCAGGTAACCTCCCCATACATGTTCTCCCCACCAGGTAACCTCCCCATGCATGTTCTCCCCACCAGGTAACCTCCCCATACATGTTCTCCCCACCAGGTAACCTCCCCATGCATGTTCTCCCCACCAGGTAACCTCCCCATACATGTTCTCCCCACCAGGTAACCTCCCCATGCATGTTCTCCCCACCAGGTAACCTACCCATACATGTTCTCCCCACCAGGTAACCTCCCCATACATGTTCTCCCCACCAGGTAACCTCCCCATACATGTTCTCCCCACCAGGTAACCTCCCCATACATGTTCTCCCCACCAGGTAACCTCCCCATACATGTTCTCCCCACCAGGTAACCTCCCCATACATGTTCTCCCCACCAGGTAACCTCCCCATACATGTTCTCCCCACCAGGTAATCTCCCCATACATGTTCTCCCCACCAGGTAACCTCCCCATGCATGTTCTCCCCACCAGGTAACCTCCCCATGCATGTTCTCCCCACCAGGTAACCTCCCCATACATGTTCTCCCCACCAGGTAACCTCCCCATGCATGTTCTCCCCACCAGGTAACCTCCCCATACATGTTCTCCCCACCAGGTAACATCCCCATACATGTTCTCCCCACCAGGTAACCTCCCCATACATGTTCTCCCCACCAGGTAACCTCCCCATACATGTTCTCCCCACCAGGTAACCTCCCCATACATGTTCTCCCCACCAGGTAACCTCCCCATACATGTTCTCCCCACCAGGTAACCTCCCCATACATGTTCGTTCTCCCCACCAGGTAACCTCCCCATGCATGTTCTCCCCACCAGGTAACCTCCCCATACATGTTCTCCCCACCAGGTAACCTCCCCATGCATGTTCTCCCCACCAGGTAACCTCCCCATACATGTTCTCCCCACCAGGTAACCTCCCCATGCATGTTCTCCCCACCAGGTAACCTACCCATACATGTTCTCCCCACCAGGTAACCTCCCCATACATGTTCTCCCCACCAGGTAACCTCCCCATACATGTTCTCCCCACCAGGTAACCTCCCCATACATGTTCTCCCCACCAGGTAACCTCCCCATACATGTTCTCCCCACCAGGTAACCTCCCCATACATGTTCTCCCCACCAGGTAACCTCCCCATACATGTTCTCCCCACCAGGTAATCTCCCCATACATGTTCTCCCCACCAGGTAACCTCCCCATGTATGTTCTCCCCACCAGGTAACCTCCCCATGCATGTTCTCCCCACCAGGTAACCTCCCCATACATGTTCTCCCCACCAGGTAACCTCCCCATGCATGTTCTCCCCACCAGGTAACCTCCCCATGCATGTTCTCCCCACCAGGTAACCTCCCCATGCATGTTCTCCCCACCAGGTAATCTCCCCATACATGTTCTCCCCACCAGGTAACCTCCCCATGTATATTCTCCCCACCAGGTAACGGCACCATCGACTTCCCAGAGTTCCTGACAATGATGGCCAGAAAGATGAAAGACACAGACTCGGAGGAGGAGATTCGGGAGGCTTTCAGGTGAGGGTGGGGGGGCGTGTTTGGTGGGAGGCTTTCAGGTGAGTGGGGGGGGGAGGTTGTTTGATGGGAGGCTTTCAGGTGAGTGGGTGTGTTTGGTGGGAGGCTTTCAGGTGAGTGGGGGGGCGTGTTTGGTGGGAGGCTTTCAGGTGAGGGGGAGGCTTTCAGGTGAGTTTGGGGGGGGGGCGTGTTTGGTGGGAGGCTTTCAGGTGAGTGGGGGTGTTTGAAGGGAGGCTTTCAGGTGAGTGGGGGTGTTTGATGAGAGGCTTTCAGGTGAGTGGGGGTGTTTGATGAGAGGCTTTCAGGTGAGTGGGGGTGTTTGATGAGAGGCTTTCAGGTGAGTGGGGGTGTTTGGTGGGAGGCTTTCAGATGAGTGGGGGTGTTTGATGGGGGGGGGGCTTTCATGTGAGTGGGAGGCTTTCAGGTGAGTGGGCGTGTTTGAAGGGAGGCTTTCGGGTGAGTGGGGGTGTTTGATGTGAGGCTTTCAGGTGAGTGGGGGTGTTTGGTGGGTGGCTTTCAGATGAGTGGGCGTGTTTGGTGGGAGGCTAGCTGTACGGCAATGGTTTCAACTTGTTTCTGACCATTTGATCCAGGGTGTTTGACAAAGACGGCAATGGCTTCATCTTGTTTCTGACCATTTGATCCAGGGTGTTTGACAAAGACGGCAATGGCTTCATCTCGGCTGCCGAACTGAGGCACGTGATGACAAATTTAGGAGAGAAGTTGACCGACGAGGAGGTAGATGAGATGATAAGGGAGGCTGATGTTGATGGAGATGGTCAAGTCAATTATGAAGGTATTTGTTTTTATTTAGCGCAGTCGGTTCAAAATGTTCAATTTTAATTAAAACGAAATCGGTGCAATATTTAAAATAATATCCTGACTTGTCTCCCTTGGACTATAATTTCATGATTTCTCCAGAGTTCGTTACTATGATGTTAGGCAAAACTAGCGGCTGATGTCACTGATGTTCATCATATGCTGGAGTGATGTCTGGGATGTTCATCATATGCTGGAGTGATGTGGGGATGTTCATCATATGCTGGAGTGATCAGTTTGGTTGTATATGTAGATCTAATTAGTTGTTCTCATTAACACATTTGTACATTGTTTTCTGAGCTCCAATATATTTTTAATTCATGAAGTGACCCGTGTTCTTATTGTTACTTGTGTGAGATTCTTTGTGGTGTGTGTGTGTGTCTAGTTGACGTGTGTGTGTGTGTGTGGTTGACGTGTGTATGTGTGTGGTTGACGTGTGTGTGTGTGTGGTGTCTATTTGTATTTTCTTTTTTCTTTACTTTTTAACTAACAGTTTTTAATACATTTTCCTACCTTAAAATATTTTAGCATTGCAGATAGATAAGTTTGATCGATATTTCGTCAAAGTAAACTGTAGTGTACTATATTTATCTTTTCCACCGACCCTAACAAAATAAGGTTAGCTAATACTTGATCTCATACTGTCTTTAATATCCCCTCTCAAAATTGACACAAGCATAACTAGCGCTATTAGCGTTCATGTTGACACAAGTATAACTAGCGCTATTAGCGTTCATGTTGACACAAGTATAACTAACGCTATTAGCGTTCATGATGATACAAGTATAACTAACGCTATTAGCGTTCATGTGACACAAGTATAACTAGCGCTATTAAAGTTCATGGTGACACAAGTATAACTAGCGCTATTAAAGTTCATGTTGACACAAGTATAACTAGCGCTATTAGCGTTCATGTTGACACAAGTATAACTAACGCTATTAGCGTTCATGATGATACAAGTATAACTAACGCTATTAGCGTTCATGTGACACAAGTATAACTAACGCTATTAGCGTTCATGTTGACACAAGTATAACTAGCGCTATTAGCGTTCATGTAGACTTGCAGATTTGTAAACATCGCTCAACCCAAGTTCTGCTCACATAGAGTGGGGAAATTGTCTTGTTACCTCCCCTTCTCTTGGTGAATATTGTAATCAGCAGTTTTTAGCAACTCTAATTTTATATCTAACAAGACTAAAAATAAATTATCTTGTGATGTTAATGACAATGCACTTATCTGGCTGCTAAAACGACTCTTGTCTTTTCTAGGACTCTATTACTCATTGATATAATAGTTTATGTCTACAATACTATTTGCTTCAAGGGACACAATCTATTGATTTATGAACTCTAGATGATATTTCCTTATTACCGCCACGATTAGATCATTCAAGTCACTAGAATTTATTTCTTCACAATAAGATTTTTTATCATCAATAGATGTTACATCTGTAACGAAATGATTGTTACATTGTTTGTATGACATCTTTGATATAACAAGGTGGTTGTTGCTTCTTTAATATGACAAGGTGGTTGTTACACACAAAATATAAAATAAAACAACCCTACATATATGCCCGAGAGGTTTCCTTACGAGATGTATGTAGCTGTACATCCGCCATTTTAAATGTGTTATTCCTTTGATGAACATCTGCTGCTAAACTTGGCTAGTTCAACTGTGTCCGACATGTTTTGTTGGCTAGTTCAACTGTGTCCGACATGTTTTGTTGGCTAGTTCAACTGTGTCAGACATGTTCTGTTGGCTAGTTCAACTGTGTCAGACATGTTTTGTTGGCTAGTTCAACTGTGTCAGACATGTTTTGTTGGCTAGTTCAACTGTGTCCGACATGTTCTGTTGGCTAGTTCAACTGTGTCAGACATGTTTTGTTGGCTAGTTCAACTGTGTCCGACATGTTTTGTTGGCTAGTTCAACTGTGTCCGACATGTTTTGTTGGCTAGTTCAACTGTGTCCGACATGTTCTGTTGGCTAGTTCAACTGTGTCCGACATGTTCTATTGGCTAGTTCAACTGTGTCCGACATGTTTTGTTGGCTAGTTCAACTGTGTCAGACATGTTCTGTTGGCTAGTTCAACTGTGTCAGACATGTTTTGTTGGCTAGTTCAACTGTGTCAGACATGTTCTGTTGGCTAGTTCAACCGACATGTTCCCATGTGTTTTATGTCAAGACACATGTCATGACACATGTCACGGCACATGTCACGACACATGTCACGGCAATAAACAAAGCGCTAATTTATAAAGCTGGCATCGGTCACCGTCCGATGGTCTTGTACCAGATATGGGTTGGTGGTTGGTGGGGGTTGGTTGTGTTGGGGGTTGGTGTGGGTTGGTGTGGGTTGGGGGTTGGTTGTGTTGGGGGTTGGTGTGGGTTGGTGTGGGTTGGGGGTTGGTTGTGTTGGGGGTTGGTGTGGGTTGGTGTGGGTTGGGGGTTGGTTGTGTTGGGGGTTGGTGTGGGTTGGTGTGTGTTGGTGGTTGGTGTGGGTTGGGGTTGGTGTGTTGGTTGGTGTGGGTTGGTGGTTGGTGTGTGTTGGGGTTGGTGGGTGTTGGTGTAGGTTGGTGTAGGATGGTGGTTAGAGTGGGTTGGGTATGGTGTGGCTTGGTGTGTGTTGGGGTTGGTGTGTGTTGGGGGTTTGTGTGGGGAGTGGGGTGGTGGTCGGTGTGGGTTGGTGTGTCTTGTGGTTAGTGGGGGTTGGTGTAGGTTGGTGGTTGGTGTGCGTTAGGTTTGGTGTCGGTTAGTGGTTGGTGTGGGTTGGGGGTTGGTGTGTGTTGGGGTTGGTGTGGGTTGGTGGTTGGTGTGGGTTGGTGGTTGGTGTGGGTTGGGGGTTGGTGTGGGTGTGGGGTTGGTGTGGGTGTGGGTGTGGGGTTGGTGTGGGTGTGGGGTTGGTGTGGGTTAGTTTGATTTGGGGGGTTGGTATGTGTTGGTGGTTGGTGTGGGTTGGGGGTTGGTGTGGGTTGGTGTGGGGTTGGTGTGGGTGTGGGTTGGTGTGGGTTAGTTTGATTTGGGGGGTTGGTATGTGTTGGGGTTGGTGTGGGTTGGGGGTTGGTGTGGGTTGGGGGTCGGTGTGGGTGTGGGGTTGGTGTGGGTTAGTTTGATTTGGGGGGTTGGTATGTGTTGGGGTTGGTGTGGGTTGGGGGTTGGTGTGTGTTGGAGATTGGTGTGGGTTGGGGGTTGGTGTGGGTGTAGAAGTAAACCGGATCTCCCCACAATAAATAACTGCATGTCGAATCTAGAACATGCACGCTTGAAGATTTCTCAGAAGAATTGGGTGCCAGCCATGCGTGGCATGCAAACAAAACTTCGTGACGTCAACATACCTGCAGCTAAGTGCATTAAGGCAGCTCTAGACACAGGTGTTACATACAGGTAAACATGGGGTCACAGGTACCATAGCACGTGGGGACATACACACAGCACAGTTTTTGCTAGTTTTTGCCTTGGTGTCACCCCCTAAATGGTGTCACGGTGCGGTCCGCATGATTTTAAGTACAAAAAATATTCTCAAAGTAGACATTCACTCTCAAGCACCCAAAATAATAAAGACAACTTTACACTGGGAGGAAATTTTTTTAAAAATAAATGCCAGCTGGAATAAACATGTTCAATAGACAGTAAATGCAGTGGAGATTCAAAAAGGCTAAAATGTACGTACAAAAATGTAAACAAAAATATTTTTATTTATTAACAGCTAAAACTCATTCTTTTAAAAATTTTACTGCACTGAAACAGACCACTTGCATTTTCACTTTACACATGTACTGGTTTCCAGGTTACTCAAAAAGCCATTTGTACACTTTAAAAAAATCTCAGGTGATCTATCTTCTCCATTAGGCCCTTTTAGTGTCAATCCGGACTTCAACAAGTAGTGGAACGTGTACAAGACCCAGGCCTAACCATGAAACTACAGCAACTTGTTCTTTCCACGCTGCTCGTGGTTGTTTTAATGGTCGGTGAATGTGCATCTTTGAAATGTTACAGCTGTAACAGTTTCAATGAAACACAATCTTGTGTTACACCTGGGCCAACCACACCTATAGTAGAATGCGAGGCTAATCAAACTATGTGCAGGAAAATTGAGCAACAGATTTTCTACAACGGTGCTGATCACACAAGGGTCTTTCGTCAGTGTGCCACTCTTGGAAGTTTAGGAGATTGTCTGGAACGAACTGGAACATATCGTTATAAATCATGGTACTGCCACTGCAAAAGTGAAACTGATGAAGTATGCAACAAGGCAGACAGCTTGCCACTTTCTGTGTCCTTAACAGCTGCTATGCTTTTTAGTGTTTTTAGCCTTACCAAATTTTTGTGAACTTCTGTGGATGTTTGGTATTAGATTGTCTTAAAATGTACATTTGCACAAAACTAAACTTAATTTCTGTCAGATGTTAATTATAAGCTATCCTGTCCATTAAGACATCTAAAAATTTCTTTGAAAACTAGGGCTTAAACTTGTCTGTTCACCATTAGCTGCATCCTGCTAAAAGAATTCATGGTTTAATTTTTTACTATTTTCACAATAATTTACCAATTTTTCACTGAAATTTTTCTGATTGTTCATAAGAAATTGTGATTACTAATTTGTGCTTTCACCACATGGAGCATTCGGACAAGTTTTGCCTGTTGGGACTTTGTTTCCATGTTCTTAAATTTTTTAAATGAGCTCCAGATATACTCCTAATTTACAGAGCAGTCAGTGTATACCCGTATGATTTGTTTATTGTCAATGATTTATATTTGTCGACCTGCTCAGATTTTTCTTTCTAGCTATCATTATTCAAGCATAATTGAATCTCAAGTTTGTTTTCATTGTAAATTTCTATGGTCTAGTCATCTTTAGGTCTAAAATTATCCTGAACTACTACTCCCCCTTAAAAATTCTACAATTATTTTGGGTCAAAAGTTTGGTATAAGATGCATTGACATGCTCAGTGTTTTGGTCGGCATTGATTAGTGTAAAGTACTATCTAAAATAAAAGGCGACAGCTATGCAGGAAATACATCATAACCATCCTTTGTTGTAAAGTTAAAATTTCATTGCTGTTTTAATTTTATCCTACACTTGAAATTGTATACATGTAAGATTTTTGAAACATTCCCTTGTATAAATTGTAAGATAGCAAATGTTTATTTGCTACTTAGTCAGCCACTTTTAGGTCTATTTCTGCATATTTTATATACTTTTATAATGTTTACATTGTGTTGTTGCTTTAAATTGTAATTTTAATATGAAGCTTTCAATTAATTAATACAGATCAATACCATGCCCATGGGTACAATTCACAGTAGTATTATATTGAG